GGGGAGGTAAGTCAAATGTGTACAGCTTACTACAAATTCAGAAGTTGTTGAATTGCTCTAGCTCATACATTCCTTATTTGAACCAAGTTAAGGATTTCCATTGTTTCTAAGTAACTTTGGCTTTGGGATTTTTGGTTACCATTTCAAGTTGAGCTCTATTTGTTCTTGGATATAGTTCAAATAGATAAAAAAAATTACGAGGCACAGATATTATAGGTTTTAGCAGTATCTGTTGGGCAGTACAGGGACCATAAACAAAAAATGTATGCGAAATACTGATGTTGACATGCTCTTACTTTGCATGCAAGGAAAAAATCAGCATTGAGATTTTGCAGGAGATAAAGTCAGGCATTTATTTTTTGTTTAGCATTATCGGTTGTTAGTCATGTTATTGTTGTCATTGATGTTATTTGCAATGATGGAGTTATTATATTTGCTTATTGTTGTCATTTATGTTATTGGTGGTGGTGGTGTTATTATATTTGCTTCTAAACAGCTCGGTTGTTTTTCTGGGCCAGGGTGCCAAGACTTGGAAGTGGAAGCTCATTGTTAGAGATATTCCTTTCAAGGGTTTTTTTCTCATTGTATTGTCATATGACATTCTTTTTCCTTAGGGGAGAGCTTAAATTAAACAAGTTTGCTTACGTAAATGCAGGCCAAAGAGAATGAAATAAAAGAGATATTTTCATCAGCAGTGTTTTTCTTGGATGTAATTATACCACACAATTCTGATACAGGGTATATTGTCATTGTCCATTGTTGTTTTTCGCTCCTAATGGAAATATATTTTCTGGTCTTCGTTCTTATTTTGATATTTTATTCCTCGTTCGCAGGTTGCCTAAAGGTTTAGCATTTGTCCAATTCACACGCAAACAGGATGCAGAAAATGTACATTTGTGATTTGTGGTTTACTTTTGGAGTACATAATGAAGCCCTGGGTTCATTAACATTTTTCTTTTTCTTTCTCAGGCAATAAAAAAGTTAAAAAGGACAAATGCTTCATAAAAGACCCATAGCTGTTGACTGGGCTCTTTCAAAGCAGATATATGGTAGTGTCACTGTAAAAAATGCTGTTCTTGCTTCAGAAGATTATTGTAACTCTATTCTCATTTAGCAAACTTTTGTCTTACTGTAATGGATTATCCTGAATGGTTGGCATTTTCTTTCCTCAAAACATTACAGGAAGGTCTTATTCTTGAGGGAACTCCAGCTGCAGAAGGGGTTTCGGGCTAGCGATATGTTGAAATGCCAAATGTAAGTTTGTTGATTTCTTTGTTTCCCTAGATATTGCACATGCATGCCCTCTCCATGGGATACCGTAGCACGATACAATTCGTACATGATTTTATTTGGACAAAATATCTTTTCAATTAATACAATCATTTGTAATTTAATCCTTCAATTTTTGGTCCCTGTAACGTGTATTTGCATTTTAGTTTAACTACTTTTCTCTTAGCAAATTTTATAAATAAATAAAAAAAGCTTATAGACTTCATGTCTCACATTCCTTTGCAACATATTTTAGTGAATTTCTGAAACCATGCAGGGAGGAGAGGAGCAAGATGATGAAGCTTCAGTCTCCAAATTTTCATGTCTCGAAGACAAGAATATTTATAAAAAAATTGTTGAAGTCCATGACAGCAAAAGAACTACAAAAACTTTGTATCGATGCTGCTACCTCACGAGCTACAAAACAAAAACCTATGATCCAACAGGTTAGTCAGGCTCTATTTGAGGCTTTTTTTGGGTATATTTGTATGGAACTTTCTAGTATTTGTAATTGATATTGTTCATGCAGAGGATATGAAGAAAGGAAAGCTTGTTGCAAAGAATTTCTCTCATGGAGCTGCTTTTGTTGAGTTTACAGAGCATCAGCATGCACTTGTGGCCCTGAGAGTTTTGAACAACAATCCTGGTAACTTAATTCCTCAAAAGTGTAATATCCATATTGACATATGACGCTGATTATTAGTAATCTCTAAACTGCAGTCTCAATTTCAGTCTTTTTATGTTGGAAAAAAAAAAATTATATATATATATTCAAATGCATTAACTCCATTGTATTATAATTTAAGATGACGTAACTTGCAGAAACTCTTGGTCCTGAGCATCGCCCAATTGTGGAGTTTGCACTTGAGAATGTTAAAAAATTGAATATACGAAATACTAAGATACAAGCACAGCAGCATGCAGCTCATCGTAATTGGGAAAACGTGCATCAAAATGAAGGCTCAAATAGACCAGATACTCATCCAAGCAAGAAGTCCAAAAACTCGAAACAAAAAGGGGAGAAGCGAAAATTGGATGATTCAGTACCAAATAAAGAAGATGAAGTTGAAAATAAGTTTAGTGATGGAGCTGCCACCGAAAGACAGAGAGGTTCTAAGAGGCAGAAAAAGTAGTTGCTATAAATTTTGCACATTGTATAACTTTTGGCAATATTTGTAAGCATGAAATTTACTGTCTGGCATTTTGGTTGAAAAACGATTGATTTGTCCTCAAACTTGGGCTTTTATTACTCGTAGAGATTTCTCCTAGTAATGTTTAATCTAGAAAAAAAAAAAAAAAAAAAAGGGTTTTAAGATAGATTTTGACTGGTTTGGCTGGTTCAGTTTGGTTTCTTGCTTTTAAGTTTAGATTTTCGGGGTTAAGCCTTATCCCTTCATAACTTCAAAATGATGCTTATTGTATATCGCATTTCATTTCATCTGGTGTATTTATGCAGAGGAATTAATTTATGAGAATGGAAGATGGTGCTGCGTTGCTAATTCTTTGTCGGCATACCCTTTTCTTTTGAGCAAACTAAAAGGAAAATCTAAACATACAAAAAATTAGCAAGGAGAATTCAAGAGAGCAGCTCCAATTTTTTATCAAATTAACCAATTTAGAGTAAATGGACAAATAGATTCAGTACTTTTATCTAAACAAAAAAAAAAGACAATTAAAGAAACTATGTATCTACTAAGTACATGCGATGATGATTCTGCCGGTGATCCCATTTGATGATCTTTTTTCATCTTTTTGTTTGTGCTCCTCTTCTTTTGTACTTGATCTTGTGATGAACGCTTTAAATTTATTTCCTTACTCAAGGCCCTATCGTTTTTCCTCATCCGGCAAATCACGAAATCGAAATCGTAACTACGATCATTGTAGTCATTCTTGGGACCAACAAAAAGACCATATTCATCCAATAACCACCGTGTGTGCTCCTCGGACCCTTTATTCTCATAGCGGAATTTTCGTTTTCGGCCAATGGGGTTCGGGTTTTCATTGTCGTCCTCAACGAGTTTGAAGGATTCAGTTTCACTCCAGGTACCGCCTTGGCCAACGCTGCGATCCATGCGCTTCGGGGTTAACTTCTTGAGCCCGGAGAGGAAATATAAGTCTTGATCAACAAGTTGAGGCCCTCCGTACTTATTCCAAATCTCCGAAGGTTCTAACTTGTTGCCAAAGAGATCGCAGGCACGGATGAAGTTGCTGTACGGCGGCATCAAAGGCTTTCTCTCGACCAACAAGGTGTGGAGAAAGGAACCCACAATCTCTTGATCAGTGGGGCGGAAACGGAAACCTAACGGCACATTCTGATGATGTGCCATTGCTTGCTTGCTACTGCTAATTAAGAAGAGAATTGCTTGCTTGCTTGCTTGGTGCTGCTAATTAAGAAGAGAAATAGAGAAGAGAAAGAGAAATCAAGTGACGTTGTCTGTGCGTAATCTGAATTGTATTTATAGGGAGTGTCGGTTTAGGGTTTCTTTTTAGTTTCCTTCCTGTGTTAGGAAATAGAATTCCAGATGAAACATGGAAACTCTTGTTTGTCTTTTTCTTATTTTGTTTTAATTTGAAAGAAAATTGGATTGGCCTGAGCATTTTTGGTACTTTATTATTTTAATTTTTAATGTTAAATTGTAAGTCAAGTTCATTGCTTTTCCTATTATTGTTATTTCGTCGATCCTGAATCTGCAGTCGCCAAAATTCTCAGAGTCAGGGTTTTCTTTTTTCAATTTTTTCAATTTCGTTTTTTGTTTTTCATCCTCCTTTTTCTGTTTTTGTTTTTCCATACTCAAGTAAATTACTGAATTGCTTTGTTTTTTTATGGAAGATATTTTCTTAGCAACCAAACAGTTGTAAAGCTGAATGTTGTTAAGCAACTGAAGGTTTCTTTCAGGTGGGTATTTGTTTAATGCCTCAAAGATGAATGATCTAATGACTAAGTCATTCCTCAGTTACGTAGACCTCAAGAAACAGGCCATGAAACACCTTGAATCGGAACCCGACCTTGAAATGGGCAAACTTGGCCCTGCTGATGAACAGAACCTCACCCAATTTTTGAAACAAGTGACCGCAATCAAGGCTGATATGGAACAGAACCTCACAAACCTTCTTCTTGAGGACCTGGATGAAGAAACCAAGTCTACTCACAGTGCTAAAGTTCTTAGCGGGCTGACATGGTAACTATTCTGAGAAAAGCAAAAGGCATCAAAGCAAGATTGGAGTCGCTTGACCTCTCTAACGTGGCTAATCGAAATGTATATCAGTGGAGTACAAGGAAGGCAGCCCTGTTGATCGGATGAGGATTTCGGTGACTAATGGTTTGAGAATTAAGCTGAGAGATATGATGAATGATTTTCAGTTTGAGAGAACAGATCGTTCAAGAGCACAAAGAAGGTCTCAACAGGAGGTATTATAATGCCACAGGAGAGGAAGCAAGTGAGGAAGTGATTGATAGATGATTTTGGAAAGTAAGTGGGAATGTCAAGGTTTTTGAGGGGAAGGCTGAGCTGGCAATGGAGAATCAGGAACGGCATGAGGCCTTGAAGGACTTGCAGAGAAGCTTGACAGAACTCCATCAAGTTTTCCTGGACATGACAGTGATGGTTGTAAAGCAAGGGGAACAAATGGATGATATTGAACAGAATGTGGCTGATGCTGGAGCTTACATTCATGGTGGAACCAATGCTCTTTTTTCTGCTCAGCAGATGAAGCAGAGAAGAGGAAGATGGGGTTGTTGAATTGCGGCTTTGGTGTTGATTGTGTTGCTGGTGTGCCTGATTTCCATCTTAGCTTCTTGAAATAGTCGGAAGATGGGGTTGTTGAATTGCGGCTTTGGTGTTGATTGTGTTGCTGGTGTGCCTGATTCCCATCTTAGCTTCTTGAAATAGTAGAGATCAAAGTTCATCCTGGATGTGGCTGTTATTGTTGTGCTGTAGTGGAGTTTTGGTCTGTGAATAATATACTGGAGTTTACTATACTGGCTGGCCGAATCAATGGTTGCTTTCATTACATTTGTCATCTAGAATGCAGAACTATTTTGCTCTTCAGCTTTTTAGAATTATTCCTCAGATATGTTTAATGCAGGTCTTTTTAAGCTCTGGTAGATTAAACCTAAAAATTTGGGGCCAATGTCATCCCAGAATTTTGTTGCATGAAAAAGGGTTTAAATTAGCATTTAGAAGAATCCGATACACATTACACCTTTTTATTGGATCATAAACAAGAATTTTGCTTTCACAACTCCTGCATTTTGCAGGATTGTTTGCAAGCAATTATCAGCCAAAAGGATCAAAACAAACAATGGTTTGTGTTCCTCAAGAAGTACTCCACTGCGGTTCGAGGAACTAACAAGGTGGAAGGTCTGTAGGTGGAGGCAAGACAGAGTGATCTGAGTCTTTCCCATTTTCCACCACGAATGCAGTCTTCAAACCCCAGCTGGTATGGAGCTCCAAATGACAGTGCATGAACCAGACACCTAAAGATGATCAAATACCGTTCAAAATATTAGTGAAATATCTAAAAATAGAAGAGAGATTATTCTTGCTTAATTAGTAACTTTGAAGTTTAATGTAGCATGCTATTTGGTTAGTTTGATGTGTACTTACCTGGATTATCAGCCCTGAACCTTATGGCAACCCAACCACCGGTAGGAACTCCGATTGTGTTTCTTTCGGGAGGATCCACCAAGTTATACTTTGCCGGGTCCTTTTTGGGGTCGAAGTTCCCAACTCCGGTCCCAACAACAAAGAAATTGTAACCATGAAGGTGGAAAGGATGGGACTCCACTGTGAGAAGATTGGTGTCTTGTAGCACCAACTCAACTGTTGAATTGAAGGCAAGTTTGCTAAGCCGGGTGCCTCTTTTAGTGCCAAGGTTGGCAGTGAGTGGTGCACCAGTGTAATTGAAAGGTGTTGGAGGGCGGTCTGGGAAATCTGTGGTAAATACTCCCTTGGTGTTGAAAAAATGAGCCTGAAGCAGCCCAATTTGGGGCATCACAAATGTGATATTGTTTAAAGAAGCAGTGAGCTGTGTTCCATTGAGGCAAGTCGTGCATTGGTTGATTCCCAACCCGATCGTGTAAAAGAGATGTCGATCAACTTTAAGAGGTACACTGGCCGGGAACTGTGCTGTGTTTAAACTTCTTAGCTTGGCATTGAAGCTCAATGCAAAAGCTGTGTCATTGAGTGCCGGAAGTTGGGGAAGAACTGGCTGCACAGTATTTGGGATGCCTTTGTACTGCAGTATTCCAGTGGCAGTTTTGTTGTCAATGGAAACTGGTGCGTCCATGAATGGCCTAGCCGCCATGAAATATCTTCCGGGTGCTTGGTTGGCTTGAACGAGAACATTCGTGGTCTGGCCTGGTGCTATTAGTATTGCTTGAGATGTGAATGGTTTGGTGTATACTGCATCAATTTCTACCACTGTCAAGTTGTGACCAGCAATGGCAAAGAATAGCTCATCATTGAGTGCAGCATTGATGATTCGTAGCAGGTACGTCTTTCCCTGTTCAACCTCCAATGCATAGGTATCTGAGATAGCAAAAACAAGGAAGGATGAGAATGCGAAGTCTCATTTTTCATGTCCAAATGGCAGTGCCCTAAGACAAAAGTGGTCTCAGAACATCTAGTGTCATAAATGGGAAAAGTTCTCCCATACAATGAGTATATACAATGTAGCTCTCACAATAACTAGTTGCACGTCCCCCATGTGCATTGTATAAGCTCATTGTAGGCAAGAACTTTTCTACATAAGGCGGTGGCTTACGTTTTTCAGAACAGGGAAAGAGAGGCCCTGGCTTCCCATTGATGGTGTGTGCATCTGACATATTTGGTGGCAATCCCAGTTTGTTTCCTTGTTTAACAACCTCTTCGATGTCGTTATTCCACCATTCTCCTACACCATTCACAAGAAACAATACAATCATTTTCTGCATAAACTCTATAAAAAAAACTGTATATAGTTACAAATCTTATAGTTGCACTAACTCACCTAAGACAATATTAGCCTCCTTGTATGGCTGAGGAAATGGAAAACCAGTCCCTTGTTTAGGCAAGATGACAATTGCTCCATACACAGTGGCTCTTAGCCAGAAAATATGTGCATGCCACCATAGAGTTCCTCTTTGCCCTGTTATAGTGATATTGTAGGTGTAACTATGTCCTGTCTTGATAGGACATTGGGTGATATAGGCAGGCCCATCTGCCCACCCATTTCTATATTGCTTTAATCCATGCCTGCAAAATTCAATCAAAATGTGACATTAAAGTTTTATGCTTGCATAATCATATGAATTCAAATATAAATTTCCTACCAATGAATTGACATATTGTATTGTGCGTGGTTGGTAACATTGACGAGAAGCGTATCTCCTTCTCTAGCATAAACTGTAGGTCCAGGGAACATCCCATTTACTGTAACAATTGGCTTAGAATGGCACAACCTGCTCACATTCTTCACTTGAACCTGAAAATAATTTTTGGAACTGATAAATAATAACCAGATATATAAAATGCATGCAATTTAAGTCTGCCATTTTGAAATGCTCACATCGAATTGGTATGTCTTCAAAGAGGCTTTTGCCAGAGTGGAAAAGAACCCAACTAAGCATAAGAAGAGAAGTGCAGAAGAACCCCAGCAGAAACTGTTGGTTTTTGCCGTTTTTCGTGACCGAATTGTTTCTATACAATGGAAAGTTTGTAGGGATGAGACACGGTAGCAAGTCAGGTTCTAATGGTTTTATATGGCTGTGCCCAAAATCTAAAATAAACCATCAGTTTGTTTATGTTAGATGGAGTTGGTGTTGTCAACATTAGGTAGAGGCTGTAGAGGTTGTACATGAAAGCTTTGAAGCAAAATACTGATGGGGACATTTAGTGTAAAGCCAACTTGAAGAGGCAAACAGAGTAGCTGAAGAACTTAATCTTGTATTTTTTATTGTTTAGGAAATTACAAGGATAATCAAGAGAGCTACCTGAAACCTAAATGTGGATCTCTCAACTTTACCTTCAAGGAAAATGGTTGGCATCAAGCGTATGTTTTCTATTCACATATACACCTTGGGCCTTTTTTTTCTTCTCTTTCGGCTTACTATTGTTGACATTGTATGTGGATTTGTTTGTTTAAAACAGGATTTAGCATTTAGTGTTTAGAGTTTTGTTAGAAAGATTATGAAATGAAGGTTTAATTTCATTTCAAATAGTATAATCTCTATTTGAATAGCTTATTTTCTGTCGTTAAGTCGCCTAGCGCATTATGTTGCTAAACTGTCAATCTCTATCATTAGAAAAATGAAATCTTATGAGCAAAAACTTTCATTTATCTATTTAAAATTTAAAATTCTTTAATGATATGGTAAGGGAAAACAAGAAAAACCTTGCTTCTAAGTTTTGGGTCCAACTGTTTAGTCAATATCTGGTAGTCACTGCTTATTCAGGACAAAAGCTTTGCAATGCCATCTAAAAATGGTATTGATCACCAAAAGCTAGAGTAATTTGTCCCACCAAAAAAAAAAATTCCAAAAGCTAGAGTAACTTTATTTGTTCAATTTGATAGGTGCCTGGAGGTGTTTGATAGGAACTTTTTCAATATTTTCCCACTATTTTTTCTTGGGTTGGGTCAGTCTATGCTTACAGCCAAGCCCAAATTCTAAAAAACTTCAAAACGCACCAAAAAAACTTGATCAGTACACCCTGCTCTAAAAAAGATTTCCAATTTTCTAAATTTTTTGGTAAATTGAGAAATATCTCTGTTTGGTCAATTGATTTTCACTATCTTCTTCTTGGATGGTCTTTTTTTTTTTTTTTGGTCTGAACCACAAGGTGGTCCTGGATGGGCCCCAACTATGGGTGGCACCTTTAAACCTTAACCACAACCCAGACTAATCCCCGCTCACACCGGGTCGGCCCGTAAGGGGTAAAGTGCTGGCCAAAGTGGTGACTCCATACGAGAGAAGGGATCGAACCCCTGACCTCTCTTAAGGAATGAGAGTGCCGAACCACTCACACCAACCACCTTGGTTTCTTCTTGGATGGTCTTTAGGCTATACTATTTTCCTTTTTCTTTTTCTTTTTTACAATTGGTCTGCAAATAAAAGTCATCTTTCTATTAGACTAAATCCCGTTGCAAGACTTCTATACTAAGGACCAAGGTCTTAAATATCAAGAGTTTCGGAAATATTGGTGGTCTAAAAACACAGATATATCAATGGAAATATTGATATCGATACAAATTAAATAAAAATCATGGAAATTGTGAGATAAACTTGGAAATTTTTATTGAAACTTTAGAGGATGTTTACTTAGTTAATTGTCTATTATTTTATCACAAAAAATTGGAAGAAAATGCATGGCATGGTGGGTTTGAGTGATTTAAGTTGATTATGTAGCGACCTGATAAACACTATGACTTTAGAAAATATGTAGTAATTAGTGAAAGAAAATTAAATGCACCATAATTTTTTAGTTATAATAATTTACTACAATATATTACACTTGATACATATGATAAGATATATGAGCATGACCAAAAAAATAAAGATAAAATGTATGAGTAACTTAGTACTGCATAGAAAGAATTCCTATTAAAGTTCAAACTTAGTATCACATATAATGAACAATATTAAAACTCAAAGTAAATAATAATACAACTCAATAATATATAACAACAACAAAATACAACTCCATAATAAAATAATAAATAACATTAAATATATGCCTAAATTTATCCTTAGGGAATTTTTTATATATGGAAATTTATCTTAGATAATATTAGCTTGCAGACATTTTAAAGACCTTATAAATATTACACGCCGAAGATATAATCACAAACTCATCCGCAGCGGGTTGGATAAGGCTCAGTTAGTGGTTGAGAAAGGGAGGGGTTTGAATCCCTCATTGCTCAATTTCCAGATTTCTCAACATTTTACATGTATTTTTCGGTTTATATCGTGATATGTTGCCCAAATAATGCATGAATGTGTAGGAAATTATTGTCCTCAAGGTGATATTTAATACTATGATAAGGACCTTATATACGGCCCTTAGATGATGCCCTAATGACTCCGTTTAAGGCTACAATCGTATTTTGATTTTGATTTGATGTGATATAGGCTTTTAAGTCCCTTAGCCCAGTGGGCCCCCATAAACAGACACCACGTGGCTCTTTTTGGGTGGAAACGTGACTTAAATTTTTTTTTGGTTGTTTATTTTTTATAGGAAAATGTGACTTAACTTTAGACATTGGGCCCTAACACTGAAGTAGGTATACATTCAACATATATGCAATGGCTTTTAGCCACAAATTGAATCGTTGCTGGACGAGTATTGTCCGCAAGTCCTCTGGCTGTCGCTGGGTTTTACATCTGCACCGTCCTGCCCACGTGCTCGATAAAATGCCTCAAAGAAATTAAAGAATGCAACTGGCATGGTTGTATTTTTCAGCCGGTAAATGCTAGAGAAATCATATTATTGTATTACATTGTGTTACCTCTTTATTAAAGGTAGGTCCACAAACAAAAGTAAATCTCAAATCTATTAAAAAGACGGTACACAATGTGCCATAATAATATAATCTTCGTGGCATTTTCATTTCCAAGGCCTCTCGTTTCTGTAGAAGTATCAGCAGTCAGGAATGGGAGCAAAGACATGTCAAGAGGAGACTCATGAAGGTGAGAAGGCTGCTGGTCCTCTTTGTTCCATTACAATTCATTTGTTCATACACTCAGTCATTCATCATATGCTTAGAGACAGTGCACATTAACAGTTGGGTATTTTTTATGATACAAGGTTTTTCAATATTAGTTTATTGCAGAAGTCTGAATTTATCTTTGTTAAAACTCATTTCTGGGTGCAGGTTGAGAGAGAGGGGCAGTGTTAGATTTGCTAGCTGGTGGCAAATTTGTGTAGCTGTTTGGGAACTTGGCAAGCCATGGAAGCAAAGAAATGGGGTTTTGCTATAACCTTGATATTCATCTTTGCTGTAGTGCCTTTGACTCTTCTAATCCTGCAGAATCCTAATAAACCATGGTATGGTACCATCAGTTGTTCATTTATAACCACTGAAATGGAGCCTAGACAATAAAAACATAGGAATTCAGGAATTATTTTATTTTATTTTTTTAATTTAGAAATGGGTTCATTGTTGTATTGGCTTGGTCTATATGTCTAATTAACAATGATCTTAAAAGTTGTGTAATAGTTGGTTGTACTGATAAACATCTAATCTTAGCTTCAAATTTTAGCAAGCAAGAATATTTCTGATATGGAGGGAGAGAAAGAGGAAAAGTTCAGGTTAATGTAGTTAGACCCTCACCAATTTGATTGTTTCAGATCAAGTTGGTTCAGCCTTTCTATTAGAGAGGAGAAAAGTAGACAAAAATTTACATTATGAGGTGGTCCACCACTCTTTAAATTTTATTCCCCATACAGAAAAACTACTATTAGGTCCACATGTTCTTCTTGGTAGTTGCTATGCCAAACAAGCATTAATGCAATGCCAATACTCAAGATACACATTTGAAGATAGTATACTGGAACCACCCACCACCATCTTTTAACTCCTTCAAGATATATACCACAACTGCCCCATAGCATCTTTACTAGTGTAAAAGTGTACTGGGTGGTCCTTTTTCTTTGATAGGTCTGCCTCTGTGTGTAGCCTGTTTTGAGGGATTTTGTTTCTTTGATTCTTTCTGTAGTAGCTGTTTGCAGCTGGTTTGGTCAAATAGAACAAATGGTAGCTTTATTTGTAACATCAATGACAAAGTCCATGGTTAATTTAACTGAAGATCATCAAACAGTCAAACTAAGTACTAACAGAGGGTGTAAATTGGTCGAATTTTAAAACATTAGGGTGCAAATTGATTAAATTAAAACATCGTGGCCCATGTTAATAATGCCCTCAAACTTGCCAAACAAGCATTAATGCAATGCCAATACTCAAGATACACATTTGAAGATAGTATACTGGAACCACCCACCACCATCTTTAACTCCTTCAAGATATATACCACAACTGCCCCATAAAATTGGTCGAATTTTAAAACATTAGGGTGCAAATTGATTAAATTAAAACATCGTGGTCCATGTTAATAATGCCCTCAAACCTGAAGGGAGTAAAATGTCATTAATCCTTAATCTAATTTAATCTATGTTCCATCATGTAATTAAACAAAGCACTGTTCTGATCATCAGTCTCTGGCATTGGCAATACCACTTATGGCCTCTAATGTTTGCAGGGAATTTGTGGACAAAATCTTAGGCATATTAGGAGGAGATGACTCAATATATCCTTCTGGAAACTACAAGGTCAATGGAGATCACATTCAGGACCTGTCTGTGAGTCCCAACTTATCTAGTTGCCACGCATCTTATGGTAGGACTGATCTCCTTGTCCATTGCTGCCCTTCAGAAAGTCAAGGAGAAGAGGCCATCATTGATTTTCAATTTCCCGATCCTTCGACTCCTTTGCGAGTTCGAAGGCCTGCCCATCATGTTGATGATGATTATATTGCCAAGTACAAAAGGGCCTTAACCATCATGAAGTCCTTGCCAGACAGTGACCCTCGGAGTTTTAGTCGTCAAGCTAATATACATTGTCTCTATTGCACCGGTGCTTATGACCAGCCACATTCCAATCTTTCTATTGATATCCATAGGAAATGGTTTTTCTTCCCTTGGCACCGCATGGTTCTCCATTTCCACGAACGAATAGTCGGAAGCCTCATTGGGGATGACGCATTTGCTCTGCCATTTTGGAATTGGGACTCCCCTGATGCAATGACACTTCCTGGGTGGTACATGAATGATCCTTTTTTCGATGATCAGCGTGATTTTTCGCACTTTCCACCAAAAGTTTGCGATTTGAACTTCCATGAAGACAATGATATTGAACCTGAGGAACAGATTCATTTGAACCTGGCATTTATGTATAAGCAGGTTGTATCCGGTGCAAAGACGCCAGAGCTGTTCATGGGATGCCCCTATAAGGCAGGTGAGGGAGGTGTTTGTGATGGACCAGGCACCGTAGAGCTTGCCCCTCACAACACAATGCATAAATGGGTTGGCAGCAATTTCCAGCCTGAAAGGGAAGACATGGGAGCATTCTACTCAGCAGCTCGGGACCCCGTGTTCTACCCACACCACGCAAATCTAGACCGTGTTTGGGAGGTTTGGAGGGGGGTTCACAAATTTGACTTGCACAATATGGATCCTGATTGGCTCAACTCTTCTTTCTACTTCTATGATGAGAATTCTCAGCTTGTGAGAATTTATGTTCGTGATGTTCTCAATACTACGAAGCTTCGGTCTGTATATGAGGAGGTTGATCTTCCATGGCTGAATATGCGTCCAAAGCCTTCTGTTCCATCCAAAATGACCAAGCAAGCACTGAAACTAAGAGAAAACAAAACCATGTTGCAATCGCCGCGTGCACGCATATTATCAGCGGAGTTTGGATCAGGTGGTCAAAATCTTGACAGCTCCATAACAGTGAAGGTGCACAGGTCGAAATACAATAGAAGAAAGCAAGAGAAAGAAGAAGAGGAAGAGGTCTTGGTTGTTCATGGAATTGATGTCCAAAGTGATGAGTACGTTAAATTTGATGTCTATATAAATTTAGTGGATGAGAGTATAGTTAGCCCAAGTTTCAGTGAATTTGCAGGAACCTTTGTTCATATACCTCATGGCAAGAGGGATGCTAATCGAAAAACCAATCTCAAGTTGGGGATCTCAGAAGTACTAGAAGATTTGGAGGCAGATAGCGATGACAGCATTTGGGTGACATTGATACCAAGGACTACCGAAACTGAGCTGGGCTTCCTCTTCAGGACTCTCCTGTTAGTCTGGCCTTCGAGTCCTGGGTCTCCAGACCCGGGGACTTGACACCTGGGCTCCAGACTCCTAACTTTGTACCTTAGGCCCTAGGCCTTCTTCCAGTTATCTTTGGGTCTAATCCCCTTGTACAAATGTAAACAATATCATAATGAGAACATCTTCTCTGTGGACGTAGCCCATTTATTAAGGGTGAACCACATATATCTTGTCTTTTGTATACTCATAAATTGGCCAAGTCCTCACATACATGCTGAAGGTCCAAACCTTCACCCATCATCCATCACACCTCATCACTAAGTTGAACTCAATAAAGGCCCAACCATTTTGAGCATCAACAGACTAAATCTTGCACTTACACAGTAATTGATGGACTGCAGATTGAATGTATGAGATAAATATTGATGCTTTGTTTGTGGATTTCAACTTCAAAAATGAGATGGCTGAGTGCATCCATAAAAAATAAAATAAAAAACCTACTACATAGCTATGGAGACAGTGACAGTCAGAGCATCCTTATTGAAAAAACATATTTATACACATGATGTAATCTGCATTTTAATTTGTGTTGTGATTAACTTGTTAATCCGGTGCAAACCAAACTGGACTGAAATTGGACCAGAACTGGTTCCACCCGAACCGAACAGTTTTTGAATTTTTTATTAAAATCATACCGAATCAAACCGGATGAATAGTACCGGATTGGTTCTAATTTGAGGCAAAAACCGGTTCAAACCGAATCGTGCCCACCCCTAATCAACATAATAATGTTGAACTTACTTTATCAATGGCACTGGTGCATTATATTTAGTACATTTTCCCTGTGGCATAGAAAGAGGGAAGAAACAGTGAACAGAGAGACCAAATGAGAAGAGAGAGAGCAACCATCTATCGAGTGTTTTTGCTAAACCCTTTATATATAAGGAAAAACCTTAACTGAGCTGGATTACCTTAATTGCACCGAGAGGACCCTCCTGGCACCGTGACGCACACACGCAATATTAAAGGTCACAAACGTCATTTCCCACTCACCAAGAAACGGCTGCTTTTTTTTGCGGGATCGGCGAGGGGCTTGGCTCGTCTGGAACCGGCATGGCCTGCGATTGCTGTAACCGGCGCCAGAAGTGGCGCGTTTTGAGTCTGATCCCAGTGTCGTGTAGAATGTGATTGGTCGGGGCTTGGTGAGAGCAGGGAGGGGGTTGCACAGGTGATCACGGAGTGGGGCATGGATGAACTGAATTTGTCTGGTTTGGTATTTCTGGCTTCCATTTTTTATGCCAGGTCTGCTCCTTTCTTGTTCAGCAGCTAGCTTATTAGACACGTAGAGAGAGAGAGAGAGGGGCGTTGTCTGGTGTTGTATCTCTGGCTTCCATGAATTCATGTAAGTTGTAACTCTCGTGTGCAATGCTTGCGCATGTGTGACATATAAATTGTATCTCTGGTAAATTATACAATGCCATCTCATTTCATGAAAAGAACTGTTACTTTTCTAAGTCAACACTCCCTTAACAATAACCATTACAAGAAATTAGTCAAATTAGACAACATTGAGCTGTCTAATTGTGATAGAATAAAAAGATGAAAACCATATTTTTTATGTACAATGAAAATATTCACAATAATGATCAAATTGTTTATCAGTTTTCATTTGGCTTATTTTGTAAGAGATGTTCCAAACAAGTAGTTAATGTCGAATGCCACAATTTTCACACCTTCTTTAAAGAAACACTGAAATTGTTCGTGTGTGATCAAGTGATAATTATTGGTCACATAATGTGGTTTTAAAATACAATTTATTTCGCAAAGGACTTACTAGTGCAGCAGTTTGGATTATTTACTCTCCTTTGAAAGGTCATGGGTTCGAGTCATAGCATCAGTGTAGTGTGTGTGAGTTTAGTATGTTAACACACTTCTCAATAATAAAAAGTCCTAAAAAAAAAGGTTCATTTAGCAACTCTCATATCTCTAAAAAAGAAAGAAAGCATTACTCATTAATTCTAATCCTAATCCCCTTCCATTTTTGGGCCTAATCCTAACCCGATCTTGTTACCTGATGATCACCCGGATGAAAAAGAAAATCGCCATATGCACATCAAATTCTTTGGCTTGCGCACTTTAGCACGGGACAAAAGAGATCTCTCCCTTTTCATGTCCCCCACTTTGCAACGTTCCTCCTGCAAAGAAAGTAAACTCTCAACCGAGATCAAGTCTTGCATCTTGCTTTTGGTTTTCTTGTCTTTTCATTCTAGTGTTTTTAAGTTTCAAATTAAGACAAAAAAAGAAGTTAATACAAGCGAAAGAAATCCACTAGAAAAAAAAGGAAAACCCGAAATACAATTAATACAAATCATATGAGTCTCTTACATAGAAACCCTACAAAGAAGATTGTGTAAATTGCAAAGGCAATACCTGTATAGTAGGGGTTTTGCAAGGGAGAATTTAGGGCTCTTTTTTTGCATTTGATGGCTGAATGAGTTTTGTTTCATCTATTAGAGTTTCTTTCTCTCTTTCTCGCATCGAGTAGTTGAGCAAATTAGGTCAGAGCAAAATGGGGATCTTCTTTCTCTCTTTCTTTCGCATGAGTAGTTGAGAAAATAAGGTCAAAGCCAAATGGGGATAAATTTTAATTCTGTCGTTGCGTTCTCCAAGTAGCGTACATGCCTCACACGTGTAAGTAATGTACACAAAAGGATTCGTGTACTACATAATCATTATCATTGAGGGTATTCTGGTCATTGGATTTCCAATTGCTAGCAAATTTTAAAATAATATTATATCGCAATAGGCTGATCTTTCCTATTATTTTTAAATTTCTTTTAAATTTGAAATAAAAATAAAAATAGCAAGGCCAACTATCTCCAGTTGCGACAATACTTGAGAGCAACCATCACACTGTTACACATCCCTCATCCCACGTGTTAATATGGATGGGTGACATGATTGATCATTGTTGTATTCGTAAAAGGACACAAATTAATGTGCAAACAACCAATTAAAAATAGGCTTAATTACAGTAATGCCCCCTGAAACTTTGGTCAAATCTCACTTTACCCCCCAAACTTAAAATGGCCCACTTTCATCCCTTGACCGAGGTTTGGTGACCCA